CTACTTCTAATGGAGGTCCTGCGGGCGCCTCGCCACGACTGTCTCCCCGGCCGGATCCTCTCTCCCCGCAGCAGCTGCGCGAGTGGTTTGCTCAGCGCACAAGCCTTCGGAGTGGAGCTGCCGAAACTGGAGACTCTGCCGATGGAGGCACTGGAGCTGGAGGTACTGGAGCTACTAGTCTTGGAGGTGCTGGAGTTCTTGCTGGAGCTCGCGGTCCCGGAGGTGCTGGAGGTGCTGGTCCTGGAGGTACTGGAGCTGCTAAAGCTGGAGGTGCTGCAGGAGTTCGAGCTGGAGGCACTGGAGCTGGAGCTGCTGGAGGTACTGGAGCAGCTGGTCTCGGAGGTGCTCGTCCTGGAGGTACTGGAGCTGCAGGAGCTGGTGGTGCTACTGGCGTTGGACCTGGAGACCCTGGTACTGGAGCTGCTGGAGGTACTGGAGCCGCTGGTCCCGGTGGTGCTCGTACTGGAGGTACTGGAGCTGCTAGCGCTGGTGGTGCTATAGGAGTTGGAGCTGGAGACCCTGGAGCTGGAGACACCGGAGCTGGAGGCGCTGGCCCTGGGGGTGCTGGTGCTGTTGGTGCTGGTTCTGAAGACACTGGACGGCCGCGACCGTACTTCGTTCCCCTGCTTCAGCAGGTTCTTGGTCTCCCGTCTTCTACTGGCCTTACTCCTCTCATACAGTGTCCACTGCCTGACCAGTTGCAGCCGCCGTTACAGCCAGCCTCCCCACTGCCGGCTCCTTCTCCTTACACTAAGCAGACCGAAGGTCTTACAGAGCGTCGTGAGCCTGTGTCTCATCCTGCCTCGCCTGTTTGCGTTGTTCGCACTAGTCGTCATGTTCCTCGTCCGCGTCCTCCTCCTGTCCCCGGCACGCACCATATGGCACTTCGTCCTTCCTCTGTTCCATAGCGTGTCCCCTTGCCGTCTCCTTTGTGGGTGCAACCCTACGGTTTGCATTCAGCTTGTTGTCAGTGTGCGTGCATGCGTGTGTACATGGAATGGTATGAGGGCATGAAATCATATATATTTCATGCTTACAATAGTGTGTGAATGATGAGGCATGATTTTGAATGTGTGTGTCGAGTCAATAGCGAGTTATCGCTAGTCGCGTGTCACGTCGTCGTTTGCGTGTCGTGTGCGGATTTCTGAACGTTCCGCGTGTCGCAGGTGTGCACAGCAGACTTCCAAGAACTCAAGGAAGAATTTATCTTTAAGAACCAGAGCCTTGGTTTCAAGATTCAAGTGATTTCGAAGCTCTCCAAAAGGGTAAACTTTAAGATAGTGAGAAGAGGTGCATTTCTTTGTATAGTGTAACATTTCTCTTAGTGTAGGCCCTTGTGGAGGGTATTTTCGAGACCCTTCGTGGTTGGGGAGTGGCACTGTTCCACATCACTATACCTCGGCTCTTGGGGTTTGTAGGAGCTGGGAGTGATTCCCAACTCGTAACTCTTCCTAATTTGTGTTCTTAGTCTATAGTGGCTGCCATAGTGCCGTTCGTTCAAACCAACGTTGCGTCGTCAATACTTAATGAAATCATGCTATCTAAATTGCCTATTGTAGGTGACGTCAAGCTGCTCCAGATCCAATTTGAATAAAGTCATTTGCAATTGTGACCAGAACGCTATCAACGTTTGAAGCCGCTGTGCAGAAATCCGACTGTGCACTCTATCTTTCGTTTTAGGCACATTCAAGCCTATTGTGACTATAACATCCTCCTGCGTCCTCTCTTGCTGACGGTCCAGACCCTGAGTCTGACTTAGTTCGTGCTGCCAGTCCTACTGTCCCTAGTCTTCTAGCCACTGATGTTACTGACCCTTCATTTGAGTCTGCTGCTGCGTCTGCCCTAGTTGATGAGCTTGTTGACTTTGCTGCCGCCTGTCGTCTCGACTACGCCGCTAGTCTTGTTGCTGATTCTGAGTCTGACTGTCCTCCGTCCGTCGGGGGTGAGTGTGCTCTTGGCACGGACGTCCTTGAGGACAGGCAGGAGGACTTTGAGTGTTTTGCAGATGCTGTACCTCATCTTGTGTCCGTGCTGATTGCACCTGAGGGAGACCCAGATGCACCAGACATCCCGACCCCGCGCTCTTATGCGGAGGCGATTACGGGTCCCTACTCCTCTCAGTGGCAGATAGCCATGGACGCAGATATGGCATCCTGGAAGTCCACAAGCACTTACCTTGACGCAGTTCCCCCTCCTGGGGCGCACATAGTCGATGGCTCGTGGATTTTCAAGGTGAAGCGGCCGCCGGGTTCTCCGCCTGCCTTGAAGGCTCGTCATGTTGCACGAGGCTTCAGTCAGCGACAAGGGGTTGACTTCTTCCAAACCTTCTCCCCTACCCCGAAGATGACTACTCTTCAAGTACTGCTGCACGTCGCCGCTCAGCGTGACTAAGAGCTTCAATCTCTTGACTTCAGCACAGCTTTCTTACAGGGCAGCCTGCACGAGGAGAGTTGGCTGCGCCGCCCACCTGGCTTCTCTGGGTCGTTTCCTGCAGGTACCCAGTGGAGCCTCCGGCAGCCAGTCTATGGTCTTTGCCAGGCACCTCGTGAGTGGCACGACACACTAAGGACTACACTTGCAGCACTGGGGTTTGCTCCTTCGACTACGGACCCGTCGCTGTTTCTACGCACCGACACATCGCTGCTGCCGTTCTACGTCGTCGTGTACGTCGACGACCTCGTCTTTTCCATTGCTGACACTGAGGCACTGGCCCGTGTGATGTCGGAGCCGCAAAAGAGACACACCTGCACTGACCTGGGTGAGCTTCACAGCTATCTTGGCTTGCAGATCACCCAGGACAGAGCACGGCGCACCATCACCCTGACTCAGTGACACATGGTGCACTAGGTCCTTCAGCGCTTCAATTTCCGATACTCCTCGCCACAGTCCTCTCCTCTGCCTACCGGTCACTCGCTCTCAGCTCCACCTTTGGACCAGTCCGTAGAGCCAAGTGGCCCGTATCCAGAGCTTGTGGGCTGCCTCATGTACCTGATGACCTGCACTCGACCTGACCTTGCCTACCCTCTTAGCATCCTGGCATGCTACGTTGCGCCTGGGAGACACCGACCAGAGCACTGGGAGGCCGCTAAGAGGGTGTTGTGCTACTTGTGCAGTACGTCGGGCATGGGGCTCGTGCTTGGAGGGCGGGGTCCAGTTGTCCTCACTGGACACGCAGACGCTTCTTGGGTTGATGTCTCAGCTACGCAGCGGTCGTCACAGGGTTACACTTTCAGCCTTGGCTATGGCTCTGTTTCTTGGTGGTCTACCCGCTCGTTTTCTGTTCTCAGTTCCAGTTGTGTGGCTGAGATCTACGCAGGGGCCATGGCTGCACAGGAGTTACGCTGGCTCACCTACCTGCTGACCGGCTTGGGAGAGCGGCCTCGTTCTTCTCCAGTTCTGTACGTAGACAACAAGGCCATGATTGCCTTGTGTTAGGAGCACAGACTGGAGCACAGAACAAATATCACTGTACTTTTTGTTGTCTTTTATATAACTCTGCATGTGAACTGGCCTTGTGGCCCTTTGCTTGTGCTCGGAATGTGTGGTGACTTTGTGATCCACCCTGAGCTTGCTTTGCTTTTCTTGACTGGTCTTGTGACCACTTGTTCTCCCCCACGTTGCCTATGGGGATGTGTCAGAATGTTATATAGCTTACTTTGTGTAGGTTATAGTGGGGTAGCTCATAAGGGGTACAACCCAATTAGGGTTAATACTTGTACCCAACTTCTGCTCAATGCATTCATTCTCGTTCAGTATTCTGACATGGCACTCCTATTCAATGCCAAGTTGAATGCCCCATTGGGCTCGGTCTTCAAAATATCCTGTTCGGGCAGTGTGGGGTCGGTAGTGTACAATGCACACAAAGACCCTTAGCATCCGTGTGTCAGGATTTTCTTCGGTCCATTCCTTAAAAGGTGAGTTGTTGTTGGGCAAGGCCTTCGAGGAGAGGATGTTGTGCAGCCGCATAGCATGGGCCATCGCATAGGGCCAATAAGCGGTTGGCACAGGTGACTGCTTCATGAGGGCCATCATTTTTGTCGCGAGGCTCCGATTTCTTTTACTCAATCCCCGCTGCTCGTGAGCTTGGGGCAGAAATATCATCCTCTTAATCCCCTTCTCCCTGCAGAACTTCTTGAACCTTTCGCTAGCGTACTCCGCTACTCTGTCCGTTTGACTTCATTCCCTTGGACTGTGTTGGTGCCATTTTCAGGCACAGATAGAAGGGTTGTACCCAGCATTGATTTAATTGTTGAGTTCCTTGACGAAAGGGTGTTCTAGACGGTGATGCCAGACGTATGCTTCGGCCCGATATCCGCGTGTGCGAGTGTATGGTTTTTTTCTTTCGTGCTAGTATACCTTCTGCTGCTAGCGTTGTTGTTTTATCTGTGGGTTCATCCGACACAAGTAATTGGACGGTTTTAAGCCTCGTTTCTCAGTACACGCCTTCGAAGTTACCGGCGTTTTCGATGTCGGTCGTCACGGGGAGCAGCTGTGAGCCTTGATAAGGAGTCGGGGTCTCGTCGAGGCCTTGTCCTACGACGTTGCTAATCGTTGCCGCCTCATGTTGAACCGGTAATATCGCTTCCGTTGGTTGTGACTGGAATGAGGTGAGGCCGTATTCGAGAGCAAGCAGTTCCATTGTGTACTCTGATACATTGACGATGAGTGCTTCTCGTTCTTCCCTTTGCTACTTGTCCTTCTATTCCAGGTCGCCAAGGCGGAGGTCCCCAGCCAGTTCCGCGTGTTGCCCATTTGTAATTCCATCCCTCGTCATCTAGCGCGATGTGTGCAGGTGGCGACTCCGCAATCCACTGCGGTGCTTTCAAGTCGAATGGGATTCGGCCGACTGTCATCTCGTCGTACATCAAGTCGTATCTTTTGCAGCTTCAACGGACCCTTCTTCAGCAGGTGGGTCCCTCCTCCTCCTCCTCCTCCTCCTCCTCCTCCTCCTCCTCCTCCTCCTCCTCCTCCTCCTCCTCCTCCTCCTCCTACTTCTACTTCTACTTCTTCTTTTTCTTCTTCTTCTTCTTCTTCTTCTTCTTCTTCTTCTTCTTCTTCTTCTTCTTCTTCTTCTTCTTCTTCTTCTTCTTCTTCTTCTTCTTCTTCTTCTTCTTCTTCTTCTTCTTCTTCTTCTTCTTCTTCTTCTTCTCCTTCTCCTTCTTCTTCTTCTCCTCCTCCTCCTTCTTCTTCTTCTTCTTCTTCTTCTTCTTCTTCTTCTTCTTCTTCTTCTTCTTCTTCTTCTTCTTCTTCTTCTTCTTCTTCTTCTTCTTCTTCTTCTTCTTCTTCTTCTTCTTCTTCTTCTTCTTCTTGGGGAGGTCTGTGTCGCACCATGCAAGTTAACACCTTGCTTTTCCCTAACTTGTTTGCAAGGGTGCGCGCAAGAGTTTGTGAAGTATTGGCGGCGGCGGGAGGGGATATGGTTTGGTTATGCGTCGGTGGTCCACCAGCTTGTTGGTAAGTCGTCGTTCCCAGTTGCTGATTTTGCAAGTAGTTGCCGTTGTTGTTTTTTGCTCCCTTGAGCTTCCAGCACTCTTTGATGGCGTGACCCATCTTCCAGCACTCAATATCGCTTCGGCATTTCCTGCCTAGAAGGCACCCTTCTCCTTTTTTTTACCTCTCTCGTTGTACAGGTCGATCTCCTGCCGTTTGGCCAGAGTTGCGTGGAGCGTGGTTTCAAAGACTGCGCCTTGAGCGCGAAGGAGTGACTTGCACTGACACCACTCCGGACCCTGTCTAGCGAGGATAATTGTCACGAACATATCGTCAGGAAGTTTCCGCAGCTTTTCTTAAGTTGATCCCTCATATTTCTGCAGCGATTGATGTATGCCCCTGCTTTCTCTCCAGGGAACTTCTTGACATTGCTCCAGCTGGTTTAGTAAATGAGTGAGCATCACTGAGTCGGTTGCCATGTATAATGTGCGCAGGTATTCCCAAGACTGTCATGTGATGCCGAGCTGCTCCACGGGCGACAAGTTGCGGATAAGAACAGTGTAGGTGAGCACTGGATCGTTGTAGTGCTACGTATTCTCCTAAGGCGAGCCGCTGTTGGGAAATGGTAGTGTACCGTCGTAGTACATCCAGATTAGCGCGGTTTGAGCCATGAGTTCGAACTTGAAACTCCATGTGTAGAAGTCCTTCTTGACAAAGAGCGTGCTTGTCTTGATTTTTGAGGTAGATAGGAATTTTCTATGGATTGACGCCATTGCCTTGTAATATGCCTATTGTTATTGAGTAGGCATTTGACCTTGACGATTGTCGAAGGCGAACGAGCGCTCGGAGTATGGTCCGGGAGGTTAGGGGGTGTTTTGGCGTAGCTGGAGTTGCCAACATTCATGGGTTGATGGTGGCCAGGGAGTTGATGCGGGTGATGAGTTGCTCGATGAGAGCATGATTAATTGATGTCACTCCTAAGGTGACATCAAAGGGTTGATGGAATGGATTTTCTCCAGTTTCCCTATAGTCCGGGCCTGGCATGATTCTTGCTTCTTATGCCAGATATTTATAATAGAAGTCGGTTTAGATAATTTCTTTTTTAGCAAAACTTATCATCCAAAATAGCTCTCATACAATGTTGATACAATAAGGTTTTTTGAGTAGGTAGCGGAAGTCTTTGTAGTGGGAACTCTTAAGTAACATAAGTAGCAAAAATAATAGAAATAGGTCAAGGGAGGGAGGGGGGGTGGGGAGGGGGGCGGGAGGGGGGGGGAAGAGGGGGGAGGGGGTGGGGGGGTACAAGCAAAGTGTTGATGGATTTTCTGTACCCCCTAACATACAACTCACTACAGCCTATATACCATTTTTTTATTACATGTAATTATATATTGATGATGCAAGTGAATAAGAAACATATGTAAACTGTTAGAATCAGGAACATAATGAATGAACTAGGAAGCAGGTGGGTACAAGTAGGAAACTTAAAAGTGTTGTACCCTATGAGAACTAGTTGTCAATGATAGGGTGAGAGGAGGAGGCAGTCAGGGAGGAATCAGTAGGCGACGGGAGAACAAACGGAGGCAGAGAACGACGTGGACTAGAACGTAATAAGACGCTGCGGAGGTAGTCGGAAGGAGCTTGACAGCTGCAAGGGACCACTGTGGTGTTGCTGTCGACCAAGGAGCTTGACAGCTGCAACTGACTGGTCTGAGCGACAGGTGGGCCGTCGACCAGAAGGGGTCCGTCGACCAGGGGGTAGCTCGACAAGAGCTGTGGTCGACCAGGGGCACCTGGTGGTCGACCAGAGGGACCTGGTGGTCGGCCAGAGGCACTTGGTGGTCAACCAGAGCACCTGGGGTTGTGCAGGTCGACCGGGTAACCTGCTCGGCGAGTTCTGCGGAGGCACGTAAACGTCGTTGAGGTCGCGATGGCGAAGGCGACTTCGGGTTGGTATCCCGAAGTCGATGTGGCTCGTCAGGCGCAGACAACAGCCAACGGATGCACATCGGTGCAAGTCGGGCCAATCGTCTGCGCGCACCTGCGAGCGTGCGCACTGCTGTCTTCTACGGGGCAATGCTGGACAGCCGCTCTGCTGCAGCATTGGCACACCGTTGACCTGCTGTGCTGGCAGGTCGCCTTTCTGCAGTGCTGGCGCGGCTCCTCTATGCAACGCTGGCAGTCGGTCAACCATGGTGTGCTGTCGGTCAACCAGGCTGACTGCAGAGTTGCTAGGTGCCTGATGTAGTTTTTTTTTTCATTGCTTATTTAACAATTCTGGAATTCCAACTTTGCAAATGGAAACTCTTGCCGATTTCTCCGGTGATTGTGCAAGCACTAAGGAACTAGGCAAAGCTACGATCACTCCTAGTAGTTCGTGCCAATCCCCGTAGTCTAGCTCACTACCGTTGAAGAGTGAATCTCTGCATGGTGCGATGAGCGTGGAAGGCCCCGCAGATTACCTTCAGATAGGAGCCGACTTTTGCACCTACTAAGTCGTTCGTAGGCCGGTAGCAGCGATAGTCACCATGGTCGACCCCGTAGCTAATGCGGGCGTAGCGGACACCTTGGAGGCACACTTGGCTGATGCGAGGAAACGCCACGCATATGGCGAGTACGGGACGATCCCCTTGCTGATCGTCGAGTTGGGCATCCGGTCGCAGTGGACGACGGAACACCCCTCCTGTCCTGATTCTCCTCGACCGATGCGAAACGAAGGTGGCGTCGACGACGAGGTCGAAGGCGGTGCACGAGTCAGCGGCAACAATAGCACGAAGCAGAAAGGAGTGATCAAAGTCGACGGTGGCGTCGACGGGAGTCGGGCGCGATTATAGCGGTTGACGGCGACTGCAGGCAGCTCGCGTCCCGACGTCGAGGGTCGACGTCGCTCTCCTCTACAAAGCGGTGGAAGGCTCTCGGCAACGACGCATGTGACAGCGGGCGGGATTGCTCCGACGTATGAATTCTTCAAGTTCTCACCGGACCGGATCACCGTCGCACCGCTGCAAGGTCGACGGGACCTCATCACCTGAAGGGAGTCGATAGAACCTCAGCTGGAGGTCGTCGGGCCGAAGGGCTTTGCAGACAGCACAGTGCCAATTCTGCCCATGGATGATGTCGAGCTGCACGGGGAGTTTCGTGTGGCTCACTTGCTCACCTTCATGGTCATCTCGAGGTGCTGCTCGCCGGTGGTGCAGCTGGCGCTTAGGAGCTGTCGAGAGCAACTGGATGCTGGTCACCGGGCATGGCACTTCATCCTGTCAACGTACCAGGTCAGGGACGACCTGTACATTGGACAACTGGAGGAGAAGATGACACACATTCGGATGGGCGAGCAGGAGTTGGCGACGGACTACTGCAACCGTTCTCGATGGATCCTGGCTGAGATGTGGATGGCGGGCGCCGAATGCTTGACAGCGTCCTACATCTCCCACATCGTCAAGGGCCTGCCGCGCGGCTACAACCTCATGAAGAGGATGATGATGGTACCCGGCACGCGTGAGTCCCTCGACGAGGACTCCATCACCAGCTACATTCTTCAAGACAAGGCAATGCATGAGGCCGAACAACCCATGGAGATCCTTCCTCAGGCAAACAACGCTGCACCGACGAAGCTGAATTAGCAGCAAGGGCAGCGCAGGAAGCCAGGCGGAGGCGGTAGCGGAAGTGAGCGGTCGACGAAGGACGTTGACGAGAAGAGGTCGACGCGGGACAAGGGCCGTGGAGGTGGTGGTCGACGGCGGGAGTGCTGGATCTGCCACGACCCTGACCACCTTTCCTACGAGTGTCCCAACCAAGATGACATCGACGAAGATGACACCAAGGGAGGCCGCGGTCAATCGACCAGCCGTCGCCCACGCCAAGATGCTAAGCCATGCAAGGAGAAGCAAACATCGAAGCAGACGTCGTCGACGAAGGACGTCGACAACTCCAGCGGCAAGAGCCGAGGCAACGGGGAGGCGTCGTGCTTGATGGTCGGCGTAGTGGAGCCGACGGTCTCGCTGGCGCCGGAGGCTAGCGAGGACTTCCAGGTGGTGGCGGCAGCTGTGCAAGCCAACCCGATGGCGGTTCTGCGCGACAGCGGCTGCTCCCACCACTTGATGGGGACGAAGGCGGTCTTCTTCGACATGGCGCCGAGCGACGATCTGAAGCACGTGCGTGGATTCAATGGGGCGCTGCAGCCTGTCGAGGGTCGCGGAACCGTCGCCCAGCAAGGGGAGGCCGGGAAGCGGGTCCTCATCCCCGACGTGCTCTACGTTCTGGGCGTACAGGCGAACCTGCTATCTGCTGGCTAACTGAAGGAGAGCGGAGTGCAGCTGCAGGGCAACGGCGATGAGATGCTGCTCGTCGTTGCGACCGGGGAGGTGCTCGGTCGAGCACGCTACAACGGACGAGTCCTCTGCACCGTCCTTCGCCCCTGCTCGACGTGGTCATCGTTGACCGAGGTGGTGGCTCTACGGACAATCGTCTCTGCGACGAAGCCGACCCCTGGCCGATTGCATGCAAGGCTCGCGCACGTCGGCGTCGACACAATCAAGAGCTCTGTTGGTGCAATCCAACAGTTTGCATTCGGCTTGTTGTCCGTGTGCGTGCATGCGTGTGTGCATGGAATGGTATGACGGCATGAGATAATATATATTTCATGCTTACAATATTTTGTGAATGATGAGGCATAATTTTGAATGTGTGTGTCGAGTCAATAGCGAGTTATCGCTAGTCGCGTGTCACGTCGTCGTTTGCGTGTCGTGTGCGGTTTTCTATTTTGTCGTGTGTGGAACGTTCGGCGTGTCGCGGGTGTGCGCAGCAGACTTCCAAGAACTCAAGGAAGAATTTACCTTGAAGAACCAGAGCCTTGGTTTCAAGAATCAAGTGATTTCGAAGCTCTCCAAAAAGGGTAAACGTTAAGATAGTGAGACTAGTTGCATTACTTTGTGTAGTGTAACATTTCTCTTGGTGTAGGCCCTTATGGAGGGTAGTTTCGAGACCCTTCATGGTTGGGGACAGTGTGGCACTGTTCCACATCACTGTACCTCAGCTCTTGGGGTTTGTAGGAGCTGGGAGTCATTCCCAACTCGTAACTCTTCCTATCTTGTGTTCTAAGACTATAGTGGCTGCCATAG